TAGTATATATATGTATGAGTATATTGTATATATCATATATAATGTATGTAGTATATGTGTATATAATAAATATGTAAATATATAAGATTATATATTATAATGCTATGATATATATATAGATATTATATATATGTAGCTAAATATATATGTATAATATATATATTATATTAGAAATATATATATATAATTAATAATATGATATATAATATATATATTATATATTATATACATATACAACATGTATATATATGTATATATATGTATATATATGTATTATATAGATATTATATATATATATATATATATATATATATATATATATATATATATAAAAACTAATGGAACTATTTAAGAATTATTAAGAAAATTACTTCATGCAAAATAAAGTGCAAAATACAACCTACTTTAGAGTTAATATAATAAAGTTAATAAAGTAATAAAGTTAATATTTATATTTAAATATTTATAAAGTCAATATTATTAAAATCAAAAATGCAGAATTTACAATAAGTTAGAAAGATAATTGCATTCCATTATCTACGTGAAATTCAGGTGAAAAAAAGAAAAAAAAGAAAAAAAAAAAAAAGAAAAGAAAGAAAGAAAAAAAAAAAAAAGAAAAAAAAAAGAAAAAAAAAAAAAAATATATATATATATATATATTTCTTTTTTGAGGAAATAGAACAGAAAAAAACTGTATTTTCTAGTAAAAAGAAGAAGAAAAATTGAAGAAAAACTGAAAATATAGATCAATTATCTCTCTTTTCTAAAAAAAAAAAAAAAAAAACTAAATAAAATTTCAACTAAATATATTTTAAAATCTAAGTATATTTCTAATAAATTATATTCACAATAAAATATTGGATCCTATCGTCACTATTAATCTGTCTATCCATCTACCTATCCATCTGTCTATCCATCAATTGTCTATCATCTATCATATCCATTAATCTATCCATCCATCTATCCATCTATCAATCCATCTGTCTATCCATCCATTTACCTATCCATCTAACCATCCATCTATCCATGTCTATCAGTCCGTCTATTCGTCTGATTTCGTCATCTATCAATCAATCTATCTATCTATTAGTTTATCTATTCATCTATCTACCTACTTTTCTAACCAAACCTCTCCTATCTATTTATCCATCTATGTCTATCAACCCCATCTATCCACCTTTCCTATCCATCTATCCACCTATCCTTTCCTGTCCACATATCCATCTATCTTTTTTCTATCTTATCCACCTATTTTTTCTTTGCTATCCACCTATCCTCTTCTATCCTTACCTATCCATCCATCCATCCTTTCCTATCCTATCCACCTATTTATCCTTTTCTAACCATCTATCCACCTATCCTTTTCAATTTTATCCTCCGAAGACAAAACTCCTCCTTTTCCTATCCACCTATCCTCTTCTATCCTATCCACCTATCTATCCTTCCCTATGGTATCCACCTATCCATCTATCTATCCTTCCCTATCCTTTACTATCCATCCTCTTCTATCCTTTTCAATCCTATCCATCTGTCCTTCCCTTCCCTATCCACCTATCTATCCTTCCCTATCCACCTATCTATCCTTCCCTATCCGTCTATCTATTCTCTTCTATCCTATCCACCTATCCTTTCCTATCCACCTATCCTAATCCATTTACCATCCTTTCCTATCCATCCTATCCCCTATCCTCCCTATCCGCCTATCCACCTATCCTTTCCACCTATCCCCACCTCTCCTGCCGCCGCGCATGCACCGCTGCACGCACTCCTCCTCCTCCAGGAAGTTGTTGGCGTTGCCCTTGCAGCCTCCGAAGACGAAGCTCCTCCTTTCCTATCCACCTATCTATCCTCCTATCCTCCACCTATCCTCTTCTATCTATCCCTATCTATCCTTCCTATCCATCTCCCTTTCCTATCCACCTCTTTATCTTTCCCTATGGTATCCACCTATCCATCCATCTATCCTCTTCTATCCTATCCACCTATCCATTTCTCTTCCCTATCCTTCCCTATCCTATCCACCTATCCCCACCTCTCCTGCCGCCGCGCATGCACCGCTGCACGCACTCCTCCTCCTCCAGGAAGTTGTTGGCGTTGCCCTTGCAGCCTCCGAAGACACCTATGAATCCTATCCACCCATTCTCCATCACCTATCCTCTTCCTATCCACCTATCCTTTTCATCCTATCCACCTATCCTATCTCCTATCCTCTTCTATCCACCTATCATCCCTATCCACCTATCCTCTTCTATCCATCCACCTATCCTTTCCTATCCATTTACCTATCCTTTCCTATCCACCTATCCATCTATCTATCCACCTATCCTCTTCTATCCTTCCCTATCCACCTATCCTTTCCACCTATCCCCACCTCTCCTGCCGCCGCGCATGCACCGCTGCACGCACTCCTCCTCCTCCAGGAAGTTGTTGGCGTTGCCCTTGCAGCCTCCGAAGACGAAGCTCCTTTCTATCCACCTATCCTCTCCTATCCACCTATCCTTTTCAATCCTATCCACCCATCCTCTTCAATCCTATCCACCTATCCTCTTCTATCCTATCCACCTATCCTTTTCAATCCTATCCACCTATCCTTTCCTATCCTCTTCTATCCACCTATCTATCCTTCCCTATCCACCTATCTATCCTTCCCTATCCACCTATCCTCTTCAATCCTATCCACCTATCCCCTTCAATCCCTATCTATCCTTCCTATCCACCTATCCTTCCCTATCCTATCCACCTATCCCTATCCCCACCTCTCCTGCCGCCGCGCATGCACCGCTGCACGCACTCCTCCTCCTCCAGGAAGTTGTTGGCGTTGCCCTTGCAGCCTCCGAAGACGAAGCTCCTCCTTTTCTATCCACCTATCCTCTCCTATCCACCTATCCTTTTCAATCCTATCCACCCATCCTCTTCAATCCTATCCACCTATCCTCTTCTATCCTATCCACCTATCCTTTTCAATCCTATCCACCTATCCTTTCCTATCCTCTTCTATCCACCTATCTATCCTTCCCTTCCCCTATCCTTCCCTATCCACCTATCCTCTTCAATCCTATCCACCTATCCCCTTCAATCCTATCTATCCTTTCCTATCCACCTATCCTTCCCTATCCTATCCACCTATCCTTTACTATCCCCACCTCTCCTGCCGCCGCGCATGCACCGCTGCACGCACTCCTCCTCCTCCAGGAAGTTGTTGGCGTTGCCCTTGCAGCCTCCGAAGACGAAGCTCCGGCAGGTCTCTGTCTCTTGGCTGTACGCCCACCGGGTGTAGTTGCCACGGCAGGGTCCGGGGGTCAGCGCTTGGAGGCAGGGTCTGGGGTGGGGGTGGAAGGGAGAGGAGTGGGGGGGGGGGGTGGGAGGAGGTGGAAGGGGGTGGTAGGAAGGGGGTGGAAGGAGGTGGTAAAAAAGGGGGTGGGGGGGAGGGGTAAAAAGGCGGGTGGAAAGGGGTGGGGGGTGGAGGTGGAGGTGGAAGGTGGAAGGGTGGGAGAGGAAGGTGGAGGGTATGGTAGGGGTGAAAGGGTGGGGTAGAAAGGTGGGGTGGAGGGGGTGGGGGGGTGGGTAAAAAGGGGGTGGGAGGTAAAAAGGGGTGGGGTGGGAGGGTGGGAGTAGGGAAGTAGGAAGGGAGGTGGGGAGGGGTAGGGATGGGGAAGTAGGGAGGGGGGTAGGGGTGAGGAAGGGGAAGGAAGGGGAGTGGGAAAAGGGAGAGGAAATAAAGGCAATAAAGGAGGAGGAGAGAAAAATAGGGAAAATTTGGAAGGATCAGGTCAATTCAACAAGCACGATAACAGGGGTCAAACGTCACAAAAAAGGTCACAAAAGGTCACAGATAAAAGAAGAGAGAGAAAAAAAATTGGTTAATACATTAACTGGCAACCGGATGCAGAATTAGGTCATACCATATTACTTTTTTTTAAATACCAAAAAAGTATTGTGTCTATTACCTTTTTTTTCCAGGATAAATATCTTTATAAAGTTATTTTTAAACTCAAAATCACTATTTGAATTATAAAAATAGTATATATATCTCTCAAAATAAAAAAAAAAATAAATTTTCGATATAGATATTAATTCCTGAAAAATCTGGAAAGACAAAATACTTTTTTTTTCATAAACTACAAAATTACGAGATTTAGAAAAGAGAGAAATATATTTATTTGGTTTTAATTCTACATAAATTTAGAGTTAGGGTGAGCACCTTTCAACCAAATTAGAAAAATTAGGGTGAGCACTTTTTCAAATTAAAGTTCAACGTTAGGGTGCACACATTCCACCAAAATAAAATTAAAAAGTTTGGAAGAACATTTCCTGAAAAAAAGATTAGATAGAATGAGCACTTTTCACCGAAATAGAGAATTTAGGGCATGCATTTTTAGCAAAAATAAGAGTACCAAATTAGGGCGTGCACTTTTAGCAAAAATAAGATTACCAAATTAGGGCGTGCACTTTTAGCAAAAAAAAAATTACCAAATTAGGGCGTGCACTTTTAGCAAAAATAAAATTACCAAATTAGGGCGTGCACTTTCAGTTAAAATAAAATGGAAAGTTAGAGCAAACGCTTCATGGAAATAATAAATTTAAATAAAGGTAAGGCAGGAAGAGCACTTTTCACTAAAATTGAAAAGTTCGAAAGATTCTTTTCACATAAAAGTGAAAATTTAGCGCGAGAATCAAAGTTATCGCTGATTGGTCGAGATAACTGCCTGAAATCCTATAAGCCAATCAGCGACGCTTTCGTGACTCAAGCCCATTGCTGATTGGTCGAGATCTTCCCTGGCTGAGATCTCGCAGGCCAATCAGCGACGCCATGAACGAACGTCACCCGTGATTGGTCGAGAAATATTTGAAACGGAAATTTGAACCAATCAGCGAGTTGGAAACAGAAAAACGTAATTTCTTCAAAAAACAAAAACAAAATAACAAAACACTGGTCTCCTCGGGGATACACAAACAAACAAATCACAAACAAAAGAACCTAGAAACTCTCTCCCCAAACAAACACAAAAAAAACACAAAACAAAGACAAAACAAACACAATAAACACAGTCACTGGTCTTCTCTGGAATGACGCACTTCCCTCCTCCAAACAAAGAAACAAACACAAACAAAAACACTTCCCTCCCCAAAAAAACACAAACAAAAACACAAAAAACACAAAACAAACACAAAAACAAACCACACTCACCGGTCTTCTCCGGAATCACGCAGCTTTCCTTGTCCCCAAACAAACACAAACAAAACAAACAAAAACAAAAACAAACAAACACACTCACCGGTCTTCTCCGGAATGACGCAACTCGCAGCTTTCCTTGTCCCCAAACAAGCACAAACAAAAACAAACAAAAACACAAAAATAAACACCAAAAAACATAAAACAAAGACACAAACACAAAACAAACACAAAACAAACACTTCCCTCCCCCAAACAAACAATTCCCTCCTCCAAACAACCTTCCCTCCCCCAAACAAAACAAACAAAACAAAACAAAAACAAACACACTCACCGGTCTTCTCCGGAATGACGCACTTTTCCTCGCAGCTTTCCTTGTCCTGGAACCGGTTGTTGTTCCCGAGGCATCCGCCGTAGACGAAGGGCTTGCAGGTCCCGCTCGCTGGGTCGTGGTACCAGGAAGGGATAGACCCCGTGCAAGGCCCCGACACCCGCGGGAGCCGGCACGATTCTGGGAGGGAAGGGAGGAATTAGTGACAGGTACAGAGAGAGGAAGGGATAGACCCCGTGCAAGGCCCCGACACCCGCGGGAGCCGGCACGATTCTGGGTGGGAAGGGAGGAATCAGTGACAGGTACAGAGAGAGGAAGGGATAGACCCCATGCCAGGCCGCGAAACCCGCGGGAGCCGGCACGATTCTGGGTGGGAAGGGAGGAATTAGTGACAGGTACAGAGAGAGAGAGAGGGGAGGGAGAGGAGGAGAGAGGAGAGGGAGAGGGGAGAGGGAGGAGAGGGAGAGGGAGAGGGAGAGGGAGAGGGAGAGAGAGAGAGAGAGAGAGGAGAGAGAGAGAGAGAGAGAGAGAGAGAGAGGGAGAGGGAGAGGAGAGAGAGGAGAGAGAGAGAGAGAGAGAGGGAGAGGAGAGGGAGAGAGAGAGGGAGGAGGAGAGGAGAGGGAGAGGGAAGGGAGAGGAGAGAGAGAGAGAGAGAGAGAGAGAGAGAGAGAGAGAGAGAGAGAGAGAGAGAGAAAGAGAGAATCAAAGAAAAAACAGAAAAAAACAAACAAAACAGAAAAAAAAACAGAAAAAAACAGAAACAAAACAGCAAAAAAAAAAGAAAAAAACAACCGACGCCCTACCCCTTCCTTCCGGCTCCACGCAGGCCGCCGCGCACTCCTCCTGGGAAGCGAACCGGTTCAGGTTCCCCTCGCAGCCCCCGAACCAGAACCGACTGCAGCCTCCGTAGTCCATGTCGAAGTACCACTTGACCGTGAAGTTCCCGCAGGGCCCGCGGTCCTTGGCGTGGCCGCACACCTCTGGGAATGGGAATGGAATGGGAATGAGGGTGGGGAATGGGAATGGGGTGGGAAGTGGGTGGGAATGTGGGTGGGGAAGGTGGGTGGGGTGGGAAAGGTTGGGAATGGGGGTGGGATGGGAATGAGGTTGGGGTATGAGGGTGGGTAATGGGAAGAGGAATGGATGAGGGTGGGAATGTGGGAATGGGAATGGATAATGAGGGGGAATGTGGGAATGGAAAGGGTGGGAATGTGGGTGGGATGGGATTGAGTGGGAATGGGAATGGGAATGGGTGGGAATGAGGGTGGGGAATGTGGTGGGAATGGGAATGGGTATGAGGGTGGGAATGTGGTAATGGGAATGGGGAGTAAAATTGGGAATGGGAATGTGGGAGTAAAATTGGGAATTAGGGAGTAATTGGGAATGGGAATGTGGGAGTAAAATTGTAACAAACAAATGGAATTAAAATAAAATCTAAAAAAGGAAAGAAAAAAAAAAATCCTTTAATCATCCTCCTCTCCCTCCGCCCTGTTAATCTCCCTCTCCCTCCCATCCCCTCTCTCCCTCCCCTCCTTATTCCCCCTCTCTCCCTCCTCCCTCCTTTATCACCCTCTCTCCCTCCTCCCTCCTTTATCACCCTCTCTCCTCTCCTCCCTCCTTCATCACCCTTCTCTCCCTCCTCCCTTTTATCACCCTCTCTCCTCCTCCCTCCTTCATTCACCCTCTCTCCCTCCTCCCTCCTTATCACCCTCTCTCCCTCTCCCTCCTTTATCACCCTTCCTCCTCCTTCTCCTTATCCCCTCTCTCCTCTCCTCCCTCCTTTATCACCCTCTCTCCCTCCTCCCTCCTTTATCACCCTCCTCTCCCTCCTCCCTCCTTTATCCCCCTCTCTCCCTCCTTCCCTTTATCCCCCTCTCTCCTCCTTCCTCCTTATCACCCTCTCTCCCTCCTCCCTCCTTTAATCACCCTCTCTCCGTCCTCCTCCTTCATCACCCTCGTTCTCGTCTCTCCCTCCTTCATCACCCTCTCTCCCTCCTCCCTCCTTTATCACCCTCTTCCCTTCCTCCCTCCTTTTACCCTCTCTCCCTCCTCCCTCCTCACCCTCTCTCCCCTCCCTCCTTTATCACCCTCTCTCCCTCCTCCCTCCTTTATCAACCCTCTCTCCCTCTCTCCCTCCTTTTATCACCCTCTCTCCCTCCTCCCTCCTTTATCACCCTCTCTCCCTCCTCCCTCTTTATCACCCTCCTCCCTCCTCCCTCCTTATCACCCTCTCTCCCTCCTCCCCCTTTATCACCCCTCTCCCTCTCCCTCCTTTATCCCCCTCTCTGTGCTGGCGCAGCGGTAAGGTGCTGGTCTTGCAATCTTGCGGACCTGCGTTCAATCCCACGCCCGGCCAGTGAGTGGTAACCCCGGCCACTCCTTGCACACAGGGGGAGATTTAGGCAAAATAAGACAGGCAGTATGTCACAGCAGAGAATATCCATTGTAACAAATGGAATTAAAACTAAAATCTTAAAAAAAAAAAATCCTTTATCACCCTCTCTCCCTCCTCCCTCCTTTATCACCCTCTCTCCCTTCTCCCTCCTTTATCCACTCACCTCCAGGCTCCACCTCGGCCTCCTCCGCCTCGCAGCCCTCGAAGAACCTCCCTCTCTCCCTTCTCCCTCCTCCCTCCTTTATCACCCTCTCTCCCTCTCCCTCCTTTCACCCTCTCTCCCTCTCCCTCCTCTCTCTCCCTTTCTCCCTCCCGATCCTCTCTCCCTCCCTCTCCTCCTCATCCTCTCTCTCTCCTCCCTCCTTTATCACCCCTCTCTCTCCCCTCCCTCCTTTTATCACCCTCTCTCCCTCCTCCCTCCTTATCCCCCTCTCCTTCCTCCCTCCTTTATCACCCCCTCTCCCTCCTCCCTCCTTTATCACCTCTCTCCCTCCTCCCTCCTTTATCACCCTCTCTCCCTCCTCCTCCTTTACCACCCTCTCTCCCTCCTCCCTCCTTTATCACCCTCTCTCCCTCCTCCCTCCTTTATCCCCCTCTCTGTGCTGGCGCAGTGGTAAGGTGCTGGTCTTGCAATCTTGCGTTCAATCCCACGCCCGGCCAGTGAGTGGTAACCCCGGCCATTCCTTGCACACAGGGGGAGATTTAGGCAAAATAAGACAGGCAGTATGCAGCAAGAATATCCATTGTAACAAATGGAATTAAAACTAAAATCTTAAAAAAAAAAAAAAAATCCTTATCACCCTATCTCCCTCCTCCCTCCTTTATCACCCTATCTCCCTCCTCCCTCCTTTATCACCCTCTCTCCCTCCTCCCTCCTTTATCACCCTCCTCCCTCCCTATCACCCTCTCTCCCTCCTCCCTCCTTTATCCACTCACCTCCAGGCACCTCCACCTCGGCCTCCTCCGCCTCGCAGCCCTCGAAGAACCTCCCTCTCTCCCTCCTCCCTCCTTTATCACCCTCTCTCCCTCCTCCCTCCTTTATCACCCTCTCTCCCTCCTCCCTCCTTTATCCACTCACCTCCAGGCACCTCCACCTCGGCCTCCTCCGCCTCGCAGCCCTCGAAGAACCTCCCTGCCGCCTTGGTGACGCCGTCGGGGCAGCAGCCGAACCTCGAGGACTCGCACCCGCAGGCCACCTCCAGGTCGGGGCCGCTGGCGGGGGTCTTGCCGTCCGGGCAGCAGGCGTAGGGGGAGTACTGGCAGCCGCATCCTGAGGGGAAATTGGGGGGTGAAATTGGAAAATTGGGGGGAAATAGGGGTGAAATTGGGAAATTGGGGTAAATAGGGGGTGAAATAGGGAAATTGGGGATAAATAGGAAGTGAAATAGGGGGAATAGGGAGTGAATTGGAGAAAATGGGGGATGAAATTGGGGAAATAGGGGTGAAATAGGGAAATTGGGGATAAATAGGGAGTGAAATTGGGGTCCATAGGTCTTGCCGTCCAGGCAGCAGGGCGTAGGGGGAATACTGGCAGCCGCATCCTGAGGGTGGGTGGGTGAAATTGGGGGTAACTTGGGGGGAATAGGAAGTGAAATTGGGGGAAATAGGGAAGTGAAATTGGGGGAAATAGGGAGTGAAATTGGGGGAAATAGGAGTGAAATTGGGGGAATAGGGAAGTGAAAAATAGGGAGTGAAATTGGGGAATAGGGAGTGAAATTGGGGGAAATAGGAGTGAAATTGGGGAGATAGGAGTGAAATTGGGGGTAAATAGGTCTTGCCGTCGGGGCAGCAGGCGTAGGGGAGTACTGGCAGCTACATCCTAAGGGGGGGGGTGAAATTGGGAGTGAAATTGGGGATAAATTGGGAAATTGGGGGAGTACTGGCAACCGCATCCTGGGGGTGAAATTGGGTGAAATTGGGGAATAGGGAGTGAAATTAGGGTTAAAGGTGGAGTACTGGCAGCCACATCGGGGGGGGGGGGATTGGGAGATGAAATTGAGAGTGGAATTGGGGGTAAATAGGGGACAGCAGGCGAAGGGCGAGTACTGGGTGAAATTGGGAAATTGGGGAAGTAGAGGGAGATAGGGAGTAAAATTGGGGGAAACTGGAGGAAATTGTGGGGAAATTGGAAGTTAAATTGGGGGAAATAGTGTGAAATTCGGGTAAATAGGGAGTAAGTTTGGAAAATTGGGGGAAACAGAGAACGAAATTGGTTTAAATAGGGAGTGGAATTGTGGGTAAATAGGGAGTGACATTGGGGGAGAATTAGGGAAAATGGAGGTAGAAATGAAGTAAATTGGGGGAATCTGGATACACTGAATTTGATAAATCATTTCAAACCCCCTAAAAAACCGTTAAACCTTTTAAAAAACGCCAACCCCCTTTTTCAAACCCACAAAAAACCGTTAAACTTCCTTTTCAAAAAACGTCAACCCCCCTTTTTCAAACCCACAAAAAAAAAAACCGTTAAACCTCCTTTTCAAAAAAACAAAAACTCAAAAAACACTCACCTTCCCCATTGGGTCCCCGAGCGATACCGACGCCGTCCGAACAACACCCGAATTCGAAGCTGTGACACGGGCAACCCTCCTCCTTATTCGCACTGCCAGCGGGGGTGTGGTTATCCGGACAACAGCCATGGGGCGTGTACTGGCACCCGCATCCCTCGTTATTCGGACCGCGAGCGACCGTCTCGTTATCCGGACAACAGCCGTACGCGCTGAACTCACAGCCGCAACCTGGAAGGGAGAAGAAGGGTGAGAAAAGGGAGAGAGGAGATAGAGATAAAGGGAGATAGGATAAAAGGGTGATAAAAAGATAAAAGGTGATAAAGGGTGATAAAAGGGTGATAAAAGGGAGATAAAGGGGGGAGATAAAGGGTGAAAAGGGAGATAAAAGGGTGATAAAAGGGAGATAGAAGGGAGATAAAAGGGTGATAGAAGGGTGATAAAAGGGAGATAGAAGGGAGAGAGGAGATAGAAGGGAGGGTGATATAAGGGAGATAGAAGGGAGAGAGGAGACAAAAGGGAGAAAGGGTGATAAAAGGGAGATAGAAGGGTGATAAAAATGATAAAAAGGGAGATAGAAGGGAGGAAATTGGGAGAAAGGGAGACAGAAGGGAGGAAAATGGGAGAAAGGGTGCATAAAGGGGAGAGAAAAGGAGAAAGGAGAGAAAGGGAGAAAGGTGATGAATAGAGAGAAAAGGAGAAAGGTGATGAAAGCGAGAGAAAAGGGAGAAAGGGTGATGAAAGAGAGAGAAAAGGGAGAAAGGGTGATGAAAGAGAGAGAAAAGGGAGAAAGGGTGATGAAAGAGAGAGAAAGGGAGAAAGGGTGAATAAAGAGAGAGAAAAGGGAGAAGGGTGAATAGAGAAGAAAAGGAGAAAGGGTGATGAAAGAGAGAGAAAAGAGAAGGGTGATGAAAGGAGAGAAAAGGGAGAAAGGGTGATGAAAGAAGAAAAGGGAGAAAGGGTGATGAAAGAGAGAAAAGGGAGAAAGGGTGATGAAAGAGAGAAAAGGGGAGAAAGGGTGATGAAAGAGAGAGAAAAGGGAGAAAGGGTGATGAAAGAGAGAGAAGAGGGAGAAAGGGTGATGAAAGAGAAAAGAGAAAGGGGATGAAAGAGAGAGAAAAGAGAAAGGGTGATGAAAGAGAGAGAAAATGAGAAAAGGTGATGAAGAGAGAGAAAAGGAGAAAGGGTGAGAGAGAGAAAGGGAGAAAGGGTGAATAAAGAGAGAGAAAAGGGAGAGAAAGGGTGAATGAAGAGAGAGAAAAGGAGAAAGGTGATGAAAGAAGAGAAAAGGAGAAAAGGGTGATGAAAGAGAGAAAGGGAGAAAAGGGTGATGAAAGAGAGAAAAGGGAGAAGGGTTGAAAGAGAGAAAAGGGAGAAAGGGGTGATGAAAGAGAGAAAGGGAGAAAGGGTGATGAAAGAGAGAAGAAAGGGAGAAAGGGTGATGAAAGAGAGAAAAGGGAGAAGGGTGAATGAAAAGAGAGAAAAGGGAAGAAAGGGTGATGAAAGAAGAGAAAAGGAGAAAGGGTGATGAAGAGAGAAGAGGGAGAAAGGTGATGAAAGAGGAAAGAGGGAGAAGGTGATGAAAAGAAAGAAGGGGAGAAGGGTGATAAAAGAGAGAAAGGGTGATAAAAATGATAAAAGGGAGATAGAAGGGAGAGAAAAAGCGAGATAGAAAGGAGAAAGATGAGAAAAAGGGATATAGAAGGGAGATAAAAAGGAAGAAAGGAATAAGAAAAAGGGTGATAGAGAGGAGATAAAAGGGAGATAAAAAGGGAGAAAGAATATTAAAATTTGGAAATAATTTTTTTTCTTTCTTTCTCTCCTCTCTTTCTCTCTCTCACTCACTCTCACTCTTTCTCCCACTCTCACTCACTCCCACTCATTTTCCACTCACTCTCCCTACTCCCACTCACTCTCCCTTCCCACTCATTCCCTCACTTTCCCACTCTATTCCCACACTCCCACTCATCCCACTCTTCATCACATCCCACTCACTTTCGCCACTCATTATCCCACTCATTATCCTTTCCCACTCATTCCCACTCACTTTCTCCACTCATTATCCACTCACTCTCCCCTTTCCTACTCACTTCTCCCTCTCCACTTATCATCCCACTCAATCCCACTCACTTTCCCACTCTCTCCCCTTTTCCCACTCATTATCCCACTCATCCCACTCACCTTGATGGAAGGGCCCCTTGGCCTCCCGAATATTATCCGGACAGCACCCGAACTCGTTGCTCAGACAGCATCCCTCTCCGTTCTCCCACTCCCACTCACTCTCCTTTTTTCCACTCATTCCCACTCATTCTCCATTTCCCACTCCTAACTTCACTTTCCCCACTCATTCCCTCTCCCACTCCCACTCACTCTCACTTTCCCCACACTCCCTTCTCACTTTCCCATCCTTTCCCCAACTCATCCCACTCCTTTCCCCACTCATTATCCCACTCACTTCACTTTCCCCACTCATTATCCCACTCACTCTCACTTTCCCCCACTCATTCCCACTCACTTTCCCCACTCATTCCCACTCACTCTCCCTTTCCCACTCACTTTTCCCACTCACTCTCACTTTCCCCACTCATTATCCCACTCACTCTCCCTTTCCCACTCATTATCCCACTCATCCCACTCATTATCCCACTCACTTTCCCCACTCATCCCACTCACCTTGATGGAAGGGCCCCTTGGCCTCCCGAATATTATCCGGACAGCACCCGAACTCGTTGCTCAGACAGCAGCCCTCTCCGTTCTCCCACTCCCACTCACTCTCCCTTTTCCACTCATTCCCACTCATTCTCCATTTCCCACTCATCCCTCTTCCACTCCTACTCCTAACTTCACTTTCCCCACTCATTATCCCACTCACTCCCACTAACTATCCCACTCACTCTCCCTTCCCCACTCCCACTCATATCCACTCCTAACTTCACTTTCCCCACTCATTATCCCACTCACTCTCCCTTTCCCCACTCCTACTCATTATCCCACTCCTAACTTCACTTCCCCACTCATCCCACTCATTATCCCACTCATTATCCCACTCACCTTGATGGAAGGGCCCCTTGGCCTCCCGAATATTATCCGGACAGCACCCGAACTCGTTGCTCAGACAGCAGCCCTCTCCGTTCTCTCCGTGAGCGGCCGTGTAATTATCCGAACAGCATCCGAATAAGGAGAAGACACAGTCGGGGGCAGGTGGTCGTGGTGGGGGTGGGGGTGGTGGTGGGGGAGGGGTGGGGTGGAGGGGGGAAGAGAGAGGGGGAGGGTGGTGGGGGCACCAGGTCGTGTCTGGGAAGGGGAAGAAGTTGTTAAGTTTTGTTGTTATTTTGTTTGTTTGTTGTTGTTGTTGTTGTTGTGTTGTTGTTATGTTGTTGTTGTTGTTGTTATTGTTGTTTGTTGTTGTTATTTGTTGTTGTTGTTATTTGTTTGTTGTTTTGTTGTTGTTGTTGTTGTTATTGTTGTTGTTGTTATTTGTTGTTGTTGTTATTTGTTGTTGTTGTTTGTTATTTGTTGTTTTGTTATTGTTGTTGGTGGTGGTGGTGATAAGGGTTGTTGTTGTTGTGTTATTATTGTTTTGTTATTATTGTTGTTGTTGTTGTTGTTGTTTTATTGTTGTTGTTATATTGTTGTTGTTATTGTGTTGTTGTTGGTAATAAGGGTTGTTATTGTTGTTGTTTTGTTATTGTTGGTAATAAGGGTTGTTATTGTTGTTGTTGCTTTGTTATTGTTGTTGTTGTGTTATTGTTATTGTTGTTGTTGTTGTTTGTTATTAGTAATAAGGGTTCTTATTGGTTGTGTCACTTATTGTTGTTGTTAATTTTGTTATTACTACTACTATCATCATCTATTATTGATATTATCATTATTATTTTCATTATTTTATTATTATTATCAATATCATCATCGTCATATTCATCATTATTATAATCATAATCATCATAATATTCAACACACTATACGATGGTTCACCATACCCCCCTCCCCACCCTTCCTCCCCCCATACCCCTCCCCTTCCACCCCACCCCCTCCCTCCCTTCCACCTGCCACCCCTTCCCCATGCCCTTCCTCCCTCCCCTACACCCCTTCCCTTCCCCTACCCTCCCTCCCCACCCCCTACACCATACCAACCACCCCCTTCCTACACCCCACCCCATCCCCCCTCACCATACCCTCTCCCTACACCATAGCCCTTCCCTCCACCACCCTTCCTCCCCCATACCCCATAACCAACCTTCCCCACCCTCCTCCTCCCTACACCATACCCCTTCCCCATCCCCACATCCCTCACCCTCATCCATATCCTCCATACCCACCCTTCCTCCCTCCCTCCCCTCCCTCCCCTACACCCCCATTCCCCCTCCCCACCCTCCTCCCACCTACAGCCCCTCCACACCCTTCCCCACCCCTTCCCATACCTCTTCCCTCACCCTCCCCATACCTCTTCCTCACACCCCCCATTCCCCCCATCCACCCCCCCCCCCTCCCCCTCCCCTCCACACCCCTCCCCACCCCCCTCCCCTTCCTCCCTCACCATACCCCTCCACCCACCCCTACCCACCCCTCCCCTCCCCTCCACACCCCACCCTTCCTCCATACCCCTACACCCTTGCCCTCCCCACCCCTACACCCTTCCTCCACACACCCCATACCCACCCAACCCCATACCCCCTTCACCATACCCCCAGCCCTCCCCCATCCACCACACCCCTCCATACCCCACCATTACCCACCATCGCAGGGCCCGGAGCCCTCGCACTCCACGTCCTCGCAGCCGCGGAAGTCCACGCCCTTGGCCGGGGACACGCCGTCGGGGCAGCAGCCGAATCTGGGGAGAAGGAGAAAATATGATAAATGGGGGGAATGGGAGAAAATATGATAAAGGAAGGGAATGGGAGAAAATATGATAAATGGGGGGAATGGGAGAGAAAATATGATAAATGGGGGGAATGGGGGGAATGGGAGAGAATTGGTGATAAATGGGGGAATGGGAGAGAATGGGTGATAAATGGGGGAATGGGAGAGAAAATATGATAAATGGGGGGAAATGGGAGAGAAAATATGATAAATGAGGGAGGAGGAGGAGGAGGAGGAGAGAAAGAGAAGAAAAAAAGAAGGGCAAACAGATAGATAGATAGCCAGAGAGAGAGAGACAGACAAACAGACAGACAGACAGAAAAACAGATAGCCAGAGAGACAGACAAATAGACAGAAATAAACAGACAGACAAAAAACAGACAGACAGACAAATATCCGGACAGACAGACAAAAAGATAAACAATTACCCAGATGGACAAACAGATAGATAAACAGATAGACATACAGAAAAAGAGACAAACAAACAAATAGACAGACATACATACAGACAAAGACAAATAGACAAATAGGCAGATAGACAGATAGATAAAGAAACAAACAGAAGCAGACAAACAAACAGACAGATAGACAGAGAAACAGACAGACATCCAGCAAAACAAACAGACACAGAAACAGACAGAAAGATAGAGAAACGGAGAAACAGAGAAATAGACATCCAGCGAACCAACCAAACAGACAAATAGACAGACAGACAGACAACCAATCAACCAAACAGACAGAAAGACAAAAAATTGGCCAGATAGACAGGAAGACAGACAACCAGCCAGATAGACAGAAAGATAGAGAAACAGAGAAACAGAGAAGCAGATAACCAGAGAAAGACAGAGAAAGACAGACAGACAGACAAACAATTTGCCAGATAGACAAGTAGACACACAAACAGACAACCAAACAAACATCCCTCCTCCTCCAGACAGACAGACAGACAGACAGACAGACATAGAAACAGAGAAACAGAGAAACAGACACAGACAGACAGACAGACAGACAGATAGATAGATAGACAGACAGGTAGACAGACAACCAACCACTCACTCGCTATTCCCGCAGTCGAACAGATAACCAAACAGACAAAGATCAGACAGACAGACAGAAAGATATAGAAACAGACAGACAGACAGACAGACAGAAAGATATAGAAACAGACAGACAGACAGACAGACAGAAAGATATAGAAACAGAAGACAGAGACAGAAGATATAGAAACAGACAGACAGACAGACAGAAAGATATAGAAACAGACAGAAACAGACAGACAGACAGACAGAAAGATATAGAAAACAGACAGACAGACAGACAGAAAGATATATATAGACAAAGACAGAAGAACAGACAGACAGACAGACAGACAGAAAGATATAGAAACAGACAGACAGACAGACAGAAAGATATAGAAACAGACAGACAGACAGACAGAAAGATATAGAAACAGACAGACAGACAGACAGAAAGATATAGAAACAGACAGACAGACAGACAGAAAGATATAGAAACAGACAGACAGACAGACAGACAAAGCCAGCCAGCCAGACAAAGATATAGAAAAAGACAAAGCCAGACAGACAGACACAGAAAGATAGAGAAACATAGACAGACAGACAGACAGACAAAGCCAGCCAGACAGAAAGATATAGAAACAGAGAAACAGACAGACAAAGCCAGCCAGCCAGACAGACAAAGCCAGCCAGCCAGCCAGCCAGACAGAAAGATATAGAAACAGAAACAGACAGACAAAGCCAGCCAGACAGAAAAAGATATAGAAACAGAGAAACAGACAGACAAAGCCAGACAGAGAAACAGACAAAGCCAGCCAGCCAGCCAGACAAAGCCAGCCAGCCAGACAGACAGAGACAAACAATTAGCCAGACAGACAGACAGACAGACAGACAGACAAAGCCAGCCAGCCAGCTAGCCAGACAGACAGACAAAGCCAGCCAGCCAGCTAGCCAGACAGACAGACAAAGCCAGCCAGCCAGCTAGCCAGACAGACAGACAAAGCCAGCCAGCCAGCTAGACAGACAGACAAAGCCAGCCAGCCAGCTAGCCAGACAGACAGACAAAGCCAGCCAGCAGCTAGCCAGACAGACAGAACAAAAGCCAGCCAGCCAGCTAGCCAGACAGACAGACAAAGCCAGCCAGCCAGCCAGACAGACAAAGAGCCAGAGCCAGACAGACAAACAATTAGCCAGCCAGACAGACAGACAAAGCCAGACAGACAGGCAGACAGACAAACATAGAGAAACAGACAGGCAAACAGACAAAGATAGAGAAACAGACAGACAGACAGACAGACAAAGCCAGACAGAGAAACAGACAGACAGACAGACAGAAAGAAGAGAAAGACAGACAGACAGTCAGAAGAGAGAGAAACAGACAGACAGACAAAGAGACAGAGAAACAGACAGAAAGATAGAGACAGACAGACAGACAGACAGAAAGATAGAGAACAGACAGACAGACAGAGAGAGAAACAGACAGACAGACAGTCAGAAAGAGAGAGAAACAGACAGACAGACAAACAGAGAGAAACAGACAGAAAGATAGAGAAACAGACAAGACAGACAGAAAGATAGAGAAAGACAGACAGACAGAAAAGAGAGAAACAGACAGACAGACAGACAGAGAAACAGACAGACAGACAGACAGAAACAGACAGACAGACAGACAGAAAGATAGAGAAACAGACAGACAGACAGTCAGAAAGAGAGAGAAACAGACAGACAGACAAAGCCAGACAGAGAAACAGACAGAAAGATAGAGAAACAGACAGACAGACAGACAGAAAGATAGAGAAACCGACAGACAGACAGAAAGATAGAGAAACAGACAGACAGACAAAGCCAGCCACTCACTCGCTCTTCCCGCAGTCGAACTCCATCAGGCCCTCGCAGCCTTCCCCGTCGGCGCCCTCGGCCTCGGTGACCCCGTCGGGACAGCAGCCGAAGAGGGCGTTGGCGCAGAGAGGTGTGGCCACGCCCCCTGCCACGCCCCCTTCGCAGCCCTCGCCGTCGGGACCTCGAGCGATGCTGAAGCCGTCGGGACAGCAGCCGTGGAGGGTGTCCCGACAGGAGGACACCTTCGGGCAGCCTGTGAGAAGAAAGAAAAGGGATTAGATTTTTTTTCTGATTTTTTTTTTTTTTATTTTTTTTTTTTTTTGGATTTTTTTCTGGGATTTTTTTTCGATTTTTTTTTTCGATATTTTCGGATTTTTTAGATTTTCATTTTTTTTTTATTTTTTTCTTTCTCACTCTCTCTCTCTCCTTCCCTCCCTCTCCCTTTCTTTCTCTCTCCCTCTCACCTTCCTCCTTCTCTCCCTCCCCTTCCCTCTCTCTCACTTTACTCCTCCTCCTTCCTTCCCTCTCTCTCTCTCCTTCTCCTTCTCCTCCCTTTCTCTCCCTTTCTCCTCTCTCCCTCTCACCTTTCTGGAAGGGCCTGCAGCGGGGGTGACCCTATCGGGACATTCTCTCTCTCTCTCTCTATCTATCTGCCTCTCCCTCCCTCCTCCTCTCTCCCTTTCCCTCTCTTTATCCCTCTCTCTCCCCTTCCCACCCTCTCCTTCTTCTCCTTCTCCCTTCTCCTTCTCTCCTTTCTCCTTCTCCTTCTCCTTCTCCTTCTCCTTCTCCTTCTCCTTCTCTCCTTCTCCTTCCTCCTTCTCCTTCTCCTTCTTCCTTCTCCTTTCCTTCCTTCTCCTTTCTCCTTCTCCTTCTCCTTCTCCCTTCTCCTTCTCCTTCTCCCTCCCTTCTTCTTCTCCTTCTCTTCTCCTCTTCTCCTTCTCCTTCTCCTTCTCCTCCTCCTCCTCCTCCTCCTCCTCTCTCCTCCTCCTCTCTCTCCCCCATCCTCTCCTTCCCTTCCCTCTCCTTCTCTCTCTTTATCCCTCTCTCTCTCCTTCTCTTTATCCCTCTCTCTCTCTCTTTCTCTCTCCCTCTCTTACCTTTCTGGAAGGGACCCGCAGCGGGGGTGACCCTATCGGGACATCTCTCTCACTCCCTTTCTTCTTCCCTCTCCCTTTCTCCTCCTCCCTCCTCTCTCTTCCCCCCTTCCCTCTCTTTATCCCTCTCTCTCTCTCCCTCCCTCCCTTTATCCCTCTCTTTCCTCTCACCTTTCTCCTCCTCCCTCTCTTTATCCTTTCTCTCCCTTCCATCCTCCCTTCCTCCTTCTCCTTCTCTTTATCCCTCTCTCTCTCTCTCTCACCTTTCTGGAAGGGACCGCAGCGGGGTGACCCTATCGGGGCATCTCTCTCACTCCCTCTCTCCTTTCTCCTTCCTTCTCCCCTTTTCTTCCCTCCTCCTCCTCCTCCTCTCTCTCTCTCTCCCCCCATCCCTCTCCTTCCCTTCCCTCTCCTTCTCTCTCTTTATCCTTCTCTCTCCTTCTCCTTCCCTTTATCCCTCTCTCTCCCTCTCTTACCTTTCTGGAAGGGACCCGCAGCGGGGGTGACCTTATCGGGACATTCTCTCTCTCTCTCTCTCTATCTATCTTCTCTCTCCCTCCTCCTCCTCTCTCCCTTCTCCTTCTCTCTCTCCCTTTCCCTCTCTTTATCCTTCTCTCTCCTTCTCCCTCCCTTTATCCCTCTCTCTTTTGGAAGGGACCCGCAGCGGGGGTGACCCTATCGGGACAGCATCCGAAGGCCGACTGTAGACAATTCTCCTCCTCCTCCTCTCCCTCTTTCTTCGGTTTCTCTTTGTCTTGGCATTTCTTCTTCTTCTTCTGCTTCTTCTTCTTCTCTTTCTCCTTCTCCTTCTCCTTCTTCGTCTTGGGTTTTCCTGTAGTGGAAGAAGGAATGGATGAAGAAGAATAAAGAATAAGGATTATTGAAGAAGTTGATAAATGGAGAATTAAATTGAATGGAAATATTTAATTGAATTTAATAAAGAAAAATTAAATTTATTCATAATTCAATCAAACAAAATAAATAATTGAATTAAATCAAATTAAAAGAGATATTGAATTAGATTAAATTAAATTGGGGAATCAAATGAAATCAAATAAAACTGATAAATTAAATGGATTCTCTTTCTCCCTCTCCACCTTTTTTCTCTCCTCTCTCCCTCCTTCCTTCTCCCTTCCTCTCCCTCTCTCTCTCCCCTTCCCCTCCCTCTCCCTCTCTTTCTCCCCTTCCCCTCCTCTCCCTCTTCCTCTCCCCTCCCCCCCTTCCCCTTCTTCCTCTCCCTCTCCCTCTCCTCCTTCTATTCCTCTTCCTCTTCTCTCCCTCCCTGTCCCTCTCACCTTCTCCTCCCCCTCCCCCTCTCTTTCTCCTTCTATCCCTCCTCCTCCTCCTCCCCTCCCCCCTTCCTCTGCCTCTCCCTCCCTCTTCCTATCTCCTTCTCCCTCCCCTCCCTCTTCCTATATCCTTCTCCCTCCCTCCCTCTTCCTCCTTCTCCCTCCCTCCCTCTTCATCCCTCCTCCCTCCCCCCCTATCTCCCTCCTTCTATCCCTATCTCCCCTCCCTCTTCCTCTCTCTCTCACTCTCCCTTCTCCCTCCCTCCCTCTCCTCTCTCCCTCCTTCTATCCCCTATCTCTCCTCATTCCCCCCATCCCTTTTCCCTATCTCCCCTCCCTCTCCCTCTCTCCCTATCTCCCCCTCCCTCCCTCACTCTCTCTCCCCTTCTCCTCTCCTCTTCCTCCCTCCCTCCCTCCCCATTTCCTCACCTTTCTCCCTCCCCCCCTCTCCTCCTTCTCCTCTCTCTCACTCCCCCCCTCCCTCCCTATCTCCTTCCCTCCCTCTCTCCCTCCCCCCCCTCCCATTTCCTCACCTTTTCTCCCCCCTCTCCTTTTCCTTCTTCTCCCTCCCTCTCTCACTCCCCTCTCCCTCCCATCTCCTTCCTCCCTCCCCCTCTCCTCCTCCCCCTCCTCCATTTCTCACCTTTCTCCCTCCCCCTCTTTTTCCTTCTCCTCCCTCTCTCACCCCCCCCCTCCCTCCCTTCTCCCCCCCCCTTCTTCTCCCTCCCTCCCTATCTCCTTCCTCCCCGCCCCCCCTCCCTCTCCTCCTCTCCCTCTCTCCCCACTTCCTCACCTTTCCCCTTCTCCTTCGTCTTTTTGCCGTCTCCGAACGCGTCGATCTCGACTTCGTTCCCGGATCCGAACGCGTTGCCCGAGCCCGAGCCGAGCCAACCTGAGAGACCGGAGTCGAAGCCGTAGCCAGACGATCCGAAACCGGATCCTTCGGCTTCGTCGCTTAATAAAGTCTATAAAAAATAAATAAATGATAAGGAGTGAATAAATTGATATTTTTAAAATCATAAATGAATAAAAAATATTAGTAATAATAATAATAATAATAATAATAATAATAATAATAATAATAATAATAATAATAATAATAATAATAATAATAATAATAATAATAATAAAATAATGACTCAACAAATAATAAACAATAATAAATATATAATAAATGATAAACATAAAATAGATACTGAATAATTATTAAACAAAACAGATAATTGATGATAATTTACTAAATAAAGATAAATGATAAGCAACGAACAGATAACTAATGAAAGAAAGAAAAAAAAGAAAGAAGAAAAAAAGAAAGAAAGAAAAAAAGAATATATAAAGTAATATCTTATTATTATTGTTCATATTATTACACATTAATGTATAATTAAGTAAAATAATATAAATATATAATTTTTAATTATTTAAGTACAATAGAGTAAACATGATAATAAATAATAATATTACAAGTAATTAATGGTTAAAAAATTATAACCAAATTAAATCAAAACCATAAATCAAAAACCATTAATTAAATCAAAACCATTAATTAAATCAAAACCATTAATTAAATCAAAACCATTAATTAAATCAAAACCATTAATTAAATCAAAACCATTAATTAAATCAAAACCATTAATTAAAACCACTTTTTTGTGGCTTTGTTGGAGAAAGTTGCTCCACCACTGATAAAATTTGTGGGGATTGTGAGGGAGATTTGAGAGATATTTTTAAAATTCAGAAAAAAAAAATGTCAAATTTTAAAATAAGAAAAAAAAGTGTCATGTCTTTAAATTTAAGAAAAAAATGGAAAGAAAAAAAAAAAAAAAAAAAAAAAAAAAAATGTCATGTCTTTTAAATTTAAGAAAAAAAAAAATTGTATGTCGTAAATTTACGAAAAAAAAATGTAAAAGAAAAAAAAAAAAAAAATGTCATGTCTTTTAAATTTAAGAAAAAAAAAAACGAAAAAATGTCATGTCTTTAAATTTTAAAAAAAAAATGTATGTATTTGTATTAAAAAAAAAAGTAAGAAAAGACGAAAAAAATGTCACTTTAAATTTAAGAAAAAAAACGAAAAAAATGTCATGGTCTTTTAAATTTAAGAAAAAAAAAAAAAAAAAAAGTGTCATGTCTTTTAAATTTAAGAAAAAAAAAGTGTCATGTCTTTAAAAAAGAAAAAAAAAACGAAAAAAAATGAAGAAAAAAAAACGAAAAAAAATGTCATGTCTTTTAAATTTAAGAAAAAAAAATGTATGTATTGTATTTAAAAAAAGTAAGAAAAAAGACGAAAAAAAATGTCATGTCTTTTAAATTTAAAAAAATAAATTTTTTTTTTTATGCCTTTTTGTGCCATTTGTGTTTTGTGTATTATTATTTTCAAATTATCTTGTGTATTTTATTCTATTTTATCTATTTACTTTTTCATCCATGCTGCTTTCCTTTTTTTTTTATCCACCACCGATAAAAATTGTGGGGTACAAGCAGGGAAAATTTGATTTTTTTTGTTTTGAAATATTAAATAACAAAAAAACATTTTGTTTGTCGACATTTGTATGTATTCTTTATCAATTATAATTTAAATAAACCACTTTTTTGTGGCTTTTCGTATTTGCATACGTCCGCCACTGTAAAAATGTGGGGATTTAATTTAAATGACATTAATCCTCTAAAAAATCGTTAGTTAATGGTTACAAAGCAAAATAAATATAAATAAACCAAAAAAAAAAAATTAAAAAGCGAAGAAAATTCAAAAATGTAAACAAATAACGGTCAAAAGCGCTTTGTTTACGTCGCTTACATTCGCCGACCGTCTAGAGCGGAGCCAGAAAACGGCGTTTTCTGTTTTCCGTTTTTCTTCCTCGTCTTCTTCGGGTTTCGAAGATGCCTATAAATGTTTCGTGTTTGAAATTATACCTTTTTTATTATCTTTCATTCTCTTATTCTCTCTTTTTTCCTCTCTTCGTTATAATTATTATTATTTTCTTTGACTATTTGATATTCATTCTATCTCTTTTTTACCTTTTATCTTTTTTTTCATTCCTTACTCTCTTCTATTCTCTACTATTCTCTATTCTTTCTTTCTTTATTTATTTTTTACTTTTTTTCATATACATTATGAGGTTTTATTTGATTAATAAATCCTTTAAAAATGAAGGAATTATTACTATTATTTCCTTCCTTCATTCATTTCTTTCTTTATTCCTTCCTCTCTTCCTCTCTTCCTTCATCTCTTCCTCTCTTCCTTCGTTCGTTCTCTCCTTCCACCCTTCCTTCCTTCCTTCCATCCATCCATCCTTCTTTTCTTCCGTCCTTCCCTCTTTCCTTCTTTCATTCATTCCTCTCTAATGCTTTCTCTGTTTCTCTCCATCTCCTTCCTTCTTCCCTCTTCGTCTATCTCTCTCTTTCTCTTCTCCCTCCATCTATCTATCCATCTCTCTCCCTCTTTATCGGGAACAGCTCTTCACGTCCTCTCTCTCACACCCTCTTTCTTTCCTTCTTCCTCCTTCCCCCTATTTCATCTTCTCCCTCTGTCGTATCTTCCCCTCTCTCTCTCATTCTCTCTCCCCTCTCTTCCTCCTTCCCTCCCTCTCTGCCTGACCCTACGTCCTCATCTCTCTTGCTCTCTCTCTCTCTCTCCTTCTCCCCCCCTCTCTCTCTCTCTCTCTCTCTCTCTCTCTCTCTCCTTCCCCCCTCTCTCTCTCTCTCTCTCTTCCTCCATCTCTCCTCTCTCTCTCCTCTCTCTCTCTCTCTCTCTCTCTCTCTCTCTCTCTCTCTCTCTCTCTCTCTTCTTTTTCCTTTCCTTCCTTTCCTTCCCTTCCCTATCTACCCATCTATCCATCCATCTACCTCTTTATCTCTCCATCTCATCCCTCTTCCTTCTTTTCTATATTTCCTCTTTTTAGCTACCTATCCATCCATCCATCCACCCACCCATCTATCCATCCCTCTCCTTACTATCTATCCATCCCTCTATCCACCCATCCATTCATCCATCTACCTACCCACCCATCCATCCTTCCATCTATCCACCCATCCATCCATCCAACTATCCATCAACCTATCCATCCATCCATCCCTCTTCTTATCGGGTACTCCTCTATCTATCCATCTATCCATCCATCTATCCACCCATCCTTCTTTCCAACTATCCATCTATCCATTCATCCATCCATCCATCAACCTATCCATCTATCCACCCATCCATTCATCCCTCTATCCATCCATCCATCAACCTATCCATCCATCCATCCCTCTATCCCTCCCTCTCCTTACCGGGTACTCATCTATCTATCCATCTATCCAACTATCCATCTACCTTCCCACCCACCCACCCATCCATCCCATATCCATCTATCCCCATCCATTCATCCATCCATCTATCCATCCATCCACCCATCCATCCCATCCATTCTACCTATCCACCCAATCCATCCATTCCATCCATCCCTCTATTCACCCATCCATTCATCCTATTCACCCATCCATCCTACCTACCACTCATCCATCCCTCTATCCACCCATCCATCCATCCAACTATCCATTCATCCATCCATCCCTCTATCCATCCATCCATCTATCCATCTATCCACCCATCCATCCATCCCTCTATCCACCCATCCATTCATCCCTCTATCCATCCATCTATCCACCCATCCATCCATCCCTCTATCCACCCATCCATTCATCCCTCTATCCATCCATCCATCCATCCCTCTATCCACCCATCCATCTATCCCTCTATCCACCCATCCATCCATCCATCCCTCTATCCACCCATCCATCCATCCAACTATCCATTCATCCACCCATCCCCTATCCATCCATCCATCTATCCATCTATCCACCCATCCATCCATCCCTCTATCCACCCATCCATTCATCCCTCTATCCATCCATCTATCCACCCATCCATCCATCCATCTATCCATATATCCATCTATCCATCTATCCATCCATCCATCCATCCATCCCTCTATCCATCTACCTACCCATCCACCCACCCATCCATCCCTCTATCCATATATCCATCTACCTACCTACCCATCATCCATTCATCCCTCTATCCATATATCCATCCATCCATATATCCATCTATCCACCCATCCATCCATCCCTCTATCCATTTATCCATCTATCCATCTATCCCTCTATCCCTCCCTCTCCTTACCGGGTACTCCGTGGATCCGCTCTCCTCTCCCTCTCTTCCTGACCCTTCGTCGGCCAAGGTCTCTCCCGAGGCAAGGTCAAGGTCATCTCCCGAGGACGAGGTCAGGTCACCGGAGGAGCTCGAGTCGCCAGAGGTCTGAAAGTTGGGGAATTAAGTTGAAAGTTGGGGAATTAAGTTGAAAGTTGGGGAAGTTGAAAGTATGTTAAGTTGGGAAAGTTGTTATGTTGGGGAATTAAGTTGAAAGTTGGGGAATTAAGTTGAAAGTTGGGGAAATTAAGTTTGAAAGTTGGGGAAAAGTTGAAAGTGGGGAATTAAGTTGAAAGTTGGGGAATTAAGTTGAAAAGTTGGGAAGAATTCAAAGTTGGGGAATGAAGTTCAAAGTTGGGAATGAAGTTCAAAGTTGGGGAATTAAGTTCAAAGTTGGGGAATTAATCTGTAAGTTTGCGAATTAAGTGTTATTGGGGGAAAATTAAGTGTAGTTTGCGGGATTAAGTTTAAAGTTTAAGTTTGAGTTTAAGTCTGCCTTTCTCCCTGGCCCACTTTCTTTCTCTCTCTCTTACCACCTCACCTCCTCCACCACTCACCTCCTCCTCCCTTTTCTCCTTCTTCTCCTCCCTTTCATCTCCTTCCTTCCTTCCTATCCCTCCCTCTCACTTTTCTTTCTTCTCTTCCTCCTCCTCCTCCTTCCCTCCTCCCCCTCCTTCCTCCTTCCTCCTTCCTCCTCCTCCTCCCTCCTCCTCCTTCCTCCTCCTTCCTCTTCCTCCTCCCCTTCCCTCCCCTTCCCCCTCCTCCTCCTCCCCTTCCGCCTCCCCTTCCTTCCCTCTCCTTTCCTCTCCCTTTCCTCCCTCTCACTTATCTTTCTCTCTCTCTACCTCCTCCTCATCATCTTCCTCGTCACACACCTCTTCTTCGTCCACTCGATCTATTCCGAGAATCTCATCTGGGGGAAAAGGATAAGAGATAAGAGATGGAGATAAATATAAAGAGATGAAGATAAAGATAGAGATAAAGATAAAGATAAAGATAAAGATAAAGATAAAGATAGAGATAAAGATAGAGATAAGAGATGAAGATAAAGATAAAGATAGAGATTAGAGAGATGAAGATAGAGATAGAGAGAATAAAAGATAAAGATAGAGATCGAGAGATAAAGATACAGATAAAGAGATAATTGGGGGGAAAAGAGAAGATAATAAATATAAGAATGAAAACAAACAAATCAAATTATAAAAATACAATAATCATCATTATTTTTAGTCTCATTATTATTGCTATTATCATAATAAATAATTGATTACTCTCAGTACATAATATAATAATAATGTAATATTATGATATAATACATAATAATAATGTTATAATATCATACACAGCATGGTTGTTACACGTCTCTTTCCCCCCTTCTCTTCTTCTCCTTCCTCTCCTCCTTCTTCCCTCCTGCCTCCTCCACCCCCTCCTCCTCCCCCCTCCCCCTTCCTACCCCCCCACCTTCCTCCTTCCCTCCTCCTACCACTTCTTCCCCTCCTTCCTACCTCCTACCTCCTACCACTCTTTCCTCCTCCTTCCCCTTCTCCTTCCCCCTCCACCCTCCTACCTCCTTCTCCTCTTCCCTCCCTCCTCCCTACCTCTTCCTCCTACCTCCTCTTCCTTCCTCCTTCCTCCCCCTTCTCCTCCACCCTCTTCCCTCTTCCTTCCTCCCTCCCTTCTCCCCCACTCACCATCTCCACAGGCGTGGTTATTACACGTCTCCACCTCCCTCCTCCCTCCTCCCTACCTCTTCCCTCCTCCACCCTCTTCCCTCCTCCTTTCCCTTCTCCTTCCTCCTACCTCCCTCCTCCTCTTCCTCCTCCCTCTCCTCCCCCACTCACCATCTCCACAGGCGTGGTTATTACACGTCTCCACCTCACTGCTCCTCCTCCCTACCTCTTCCCTCCTCCTTCCTTCCCTCCTCCCTACCTCTTCCCTCCACCGTCTTCCCTCTTTCCCTCCTTCCCTCCTCCCTCCTTCTTCTTCCTCCCTCCTTCCTCCTTCCTTCCTTCCTCCTCCTCCCCAACAAAGCCCAACCTACTCACCATCTCCACAGGTGTGGTTGTTACACGTCTCCTCATCTCCCCTCCTCCCTCGTCCCTACCTCTACCTCCCTCCTCCTTCCCTCCCCTTCTCCTCCCTTCCTCCTACATCCCTCCTCCCTCCTTCACCTCCCCCACTCACCCATCTCCACAGGCGTGGTTATTACACGTCTCCTCCACCTCCCTCCTCCCTACCTTCTTACCCTTCCCTCCTTCCTTCCTCCTTCCTCCCTCCTCCATCCTCTTCCCTCCCTCCTACCTCCTACCTCCTTCCTCCTCCCTCCCCTTCCCTCCCTCCTTTCCTCCCTCCTCCCCCCCTTCCAAACACTCACCATCTCCACAGGCATGGTTATTACACGTCTCCATCTCCCTCCACCCTCTTCCCTACCTCTCCCTCCCTCCCCTTCCCTCCTATCTCCTCCTTCCCTCCCTCTTCCCTCCCTCCTCCCCCTCCAAGCCCACCTACTCACCATCTCCACAGGCATGGTTATTACACGTCTCTTTCTCCCCCTTCTCCTCCCCCTCCTTCCCCTTCCTCTCCCTCTACCACTCTTCCCCTCCCTTCCCTCCCTCCCTCTTCCTCCCTCCTTCCTTCCTTCCCTCCTTCCCTCCTACTTACCTCCACCCTCCCCTTCCCTCCCTCCTTCCTCCTTCCTTCCCCTCCAACACTCACCATCTCCACAGGCATGGTTATTACCTACCTCCTTCCTCCACCCTTTTCCCTTCTCCCTCCCTCCCCTTCCCTCCCTCCCTCCTTCCTCCACCCTCTTCCCTCCCTCCTCCCTCCCTCCTTCCTCCACCCTCTCCTCCCTCCTCCCTCCCTCCTTCCTTCCCCCCCTAAGCCCACCTACTCACCATCTCCACAGGCATGGTTATTACACGCCTCCACCTCCTCCCCCTTCTCCTTCTCCTTCCTACCTCCTCCCTCCCTCCTCCCTTCCTTCCCTCCTTCCTTCCTCCTTCCTTCCCCCTCCAACACTCACCATCTCCACAGGCATGGTTATTACACGCCTCCCACCTCCTCCCCCTTCTCCTCCCCTCCTTCCTCTTTCCTTCCCCTCCAACACTCACCATCTCCACAGGTATGGTTATTACCTACCTCCTTCCTCTACCCTTTTCCCTTCTCCCTCCCTCCCCTTCCCTCCCTCCCTCCTTCCTCCACCCTCTTCCTCCCTCCTCCCTCCCTCCTTCCTTCCCCCTCCAACACTCACCATCTCCACAGGCATGGTTATTACACGTCTCCACCTCCTCCCCTTCTCCTTCTCCTTCCTACCTCCTCCCTCCCTCCTCCTTCCTCCTCCTCCCTTCCTTCCCTCCCTCCTTCCTCCTTCCTTCCCCCTCCAACACTCACCATCTCCACAGGCATGGTTGTTACACGTCTCCAGGGCATAGGGCAGGGCATTGCATCGCACTCAGCACGGTCGCCTGCTGTCCGTTCTTGTAGCAGAGAACCTTCCTCGTCATGGTTCCTCCACCGCAGTCCTTGGAGCACTGTGGGGAGGGGGGGGAGAGAGAGATAGATTTAGTAACGGTGAGGGAGAGGGGAGAGGGAGAGGGAGGGAGGGAGGGAAGGGAGGGAAGGAGGAGGGTGGGGAGAGGGAGAGAGAGAGAGAGAGAGAGAGAGAGAGGAAAGAGAGAGAGAGAGAGAAAGAGAGAGAGAGAGGAAAAGAGAGAGAGAGAGAGAGAGAGAGAGAGGAGAGAGAGAGAGAGAGAGAGAGAGAGAGAGAGAGAGAGAGAGAGAGAGAGAGAGAGAGAGAGAAGAGAGAGAGAGAGAGAGAGAGAGAGAGAGAAGAGAAAAACAAATATAAAGAAGAGAGAGAGAAGAGAAAACAAATATAAAGAGAAAGAGAGAGAGAGAGAAAAAACAAATATAAAGAGAAAGAGAGAGAAGAGAAAAACAAATATAAAGAGAGAGAGGAGAGAAAAACAAATATAAAGAGAAAAGAGAATGAGAGAAATATACAAATATTCTAAACAACAAAAACACGAATAAATCATTTTTTTTTAATCTTTTAAAAATCTCTGCAAAAATAATTTACGAAAAAATATAATCTATAAAAAATATTTATATAACACACGCTTAAACTACAAACAGACACAAACGAAAATTACATAAAATCGAATAAAAATCTAATTTATTAATCACACAAAAACAGAAAAAACAGCAAAAAACAAATAAATTTTTAAAACAACAGCATTGACAAGAAAGAAAAACATGCGTTCTCTAAATAACAAAATAAATAAATAAAGAATAAAAAAAAAACACAAAAAATAAAATTTTGGAAATTCTATTATTATTTCCACTGACCTGATGACGTCACTTCCGTCTAATTTGCAAAGAAACGAGATAGATAATAAAATATATATTTTTTAAAAACGAATTTGGAATATATTTTTTTCGTAATAATTCAGTAATAACAATATTTTTTTCTAAAACTGTTTAACGTAAAAATAAAAAAGTATAATGATATATGATATTCATGATTTCAAAATCAATAATAATATTATATATATATATATATATATATATATATATATATATATATATATATATATATATATATATATATATATATATGTATATATACATTTTTTTTCTTTCTCTCTTTCTTTCTTTCTGTCTTTTGTATATAATTCATAATATTCATAATATTTTTTTTATATAATTCATAGAATCTATATTATTCATAATATGATATATAATTCATAATATTTTTTTTTATAATTCATAATTTAATATATAATATATAATTCAGAATATATTTTTTTTATAATTCATAATATCATATAATTCATAATAATTTATATAATTCATAATATTTAGTTATAATTCATTAGAATTTTGATATGATATAATATAAGGGATATTTGTGAAATAAAATTAATTTACATATTTCTAATTTAGATTTCTCTATTTATGATTTCAAAATTACTCCTACTCACTCCCTCACCCTGTCCTTCCCTCTTTTCCCCTCACACTCCCACACACTCCCCTCCCACTCACTCACTCACTCATCTACACCCTCTCCCACTGTCTTTCCTACTCCACTTCCTCATCTTCTCTCTCACCCCACTCCCTTCCTCTCCTTCTCCCATCCTCCCTCTCTGCCTCTCTCCCACTACCACACTCTCCCACTCTCCCACTCCACACTCTCCCGCTCTTCCTCTCTCCCACTCACTCATTCATCCACTCCCTCTCTCCCTCTCACCCCCACTCCCTTCCTCTCCTGCTCCCATCCTCCACTCCCACCCACCCTTCTCCCTCTCACTCCTACTCCCTTCCTCTTCTCCCTCCCTTCTCCTTTCCTCTCCTTCTCCCCTCCCTCCACTCCCTCCCTTCTCCTTTCCTCCTTCTCCCTCCCTCCCACTCCCACCCACCCAACCTCCCACCCTTCTCCCTCTCACTCCTACTCCCTTTCCTCTTCTCCCTCCCTTCTCCTTTCCTCTCCTTCTCCCACCCTCCCACTCGCTCTCCCCCCCTCCCTCCCACCCCCCACTCCCTCTCCCTCCCTCCACCCCCCCCCCCCACAACTCACCTTACTCCAAGGCCCGGCGAACCACTCCCCATCCAAATCTTCCTTCTCCTCCTCCTCTTCCTCCTTCTCCTCCTTTTCCTCCTCTTCCACCTTCGTCCCATTGCAGGACTCCATGGCAACGAGCCTCTTGGCAGGACTGCAACTGGACTCTGCAACGGATCCCACGAAGTCCTCCTTCTCGTCCCAGGATCCGCAGAGGACGTGGCGAGTCCGGACTCCCTCGCCGATGGACGTCGAGCACTGGAAAAAAAGGGAGAGAATTAGAGAATTAGAGAATTAGAAAGGGAGAGAGAAGGAGGGGGGAGGGTGAGGGTGAGAAACAGGGGGAGAGGGAGGAGGAGGGAGAGGGGTTAGAGAGAGAGGGAGGGGAGAAGGAGGGGAAGGAGAAGGGAGGGAGAAGGAGGGAAGGGAGAGGGAGGGAAGGGGTGAGGGGAAGGAGAGGGACGTCGAGCACTAAAAAAAAAGGGAGAGAATTAGAGAATTAGAGGGAGGTTACGGAAGAGAGGGAGAGAAGGAGAGAGGTGAGGAGAAGGAGGGGGAGGGTGAGGGTGAGAGAAGGAGGGGGGAGGAGAGGAGGGAAGGGGAGAGGAAGGAGAGGGGAAGAGGGAGGTGAGGGGAAGGAGAGGACGTCGAGCACTAAAAAAAAGGGAGAGATTAGAGAATTAGAGAAGGAGAGAAGGAGGGGGAGGGGTGAGGGCTGAGGAGAGGGTGAGAGGGAGAGAGGGGAGAGGGAGGTGAAGAGGGGGTGAGAGGGAGAGGCGAGAGAAGGAGAGAGGGAGAGAAGGTGAGGGAGAGAGGAGAGGGGGTGAGGGAGAGGGAGAGGGGGGGAGGGAGAAGGAGGGAGGGAGGGGGAGGGAGAAGGAGGGGGAGGGGAGGAAGAAGGAGGGGGGAGGCGGAAGGAGAGGACGCGAGCACTAGAAAAGGGAGAGAATTAGAGAATAGAGAATTAGAGAGGGAGGTTAAGGAGAGAGGGGGGGAGAAGGAGGGGGGAGGGTGAGGGGGAGCAGGAGAGGGAGCGAGGGGTGAGGGGGAGGGAGAGGGACGTCGAGCACTAGAAAAGGGAGGAGAATTAGAGAATTAGAATTAGGAGAGGGAGGTTAAGGAGAGAGAGGGAGAGAGAAGGAGGGGAGGGGAGGGGGAGGGAGAGGAGCAGGGGGAGAAGGAAGAGGGAAGAGTGAGGTGGTGAGGGGAAGGAGAGGGACGTCGAGCACTAAAAAAAAGGGAGAGAATTAGAGAATTAGAGAGGGAGGTTAAGGAGAGAGGGGGAGAGAAGGAGGGTGGGAGGGGAGGGAGGAAGAGGGAAGAGGTAGGGGTGAGGGGAAGGAGAGGGACGTCGAGCACTAGAAAAAAAGGGAGAGAATTAGAGAATTAGAGAGGGAGGTTAAGGAGAGAGGGGGAGAGAAGGATGGGGTGGGAGGGGGAGGAGGAAGAGGGAAGAGGGAAGGGGTGAGGGGGAAGGAGAGGGACGTCGAGCACTAGAAAAAAAAGGGTGAGAGAATTAGAGAGGAGAGAAGGAGGGGAAAAGAAGGAGGGGGAAGAGAAGGAGGGGGGAGACAAGGAGGGGAGAAGGAGGGAAAGGAGAGGGAGGGAAGGGAAGAGGGAAGGCGCGAGGGGGAAGGAGAGGGACGTCGAGCACTAAAAAAAAAAGGGAGAGAATTAGAGAATTAGAGAGGAGGTTAAGGAGAGAGAGGGAGGTTAAGGAGAGAGGGGGAGGAGAAGGAGGGGGAAGGAGGGAGAGGGGGAGAGGGAGGGGTGAGAGGGGAGAGGGAGGGGGTGAGAGAGGGAGAGAGCCAAGAGGGGGGGTTAGAGAGAGAGGGAGGGGTTAGAGAGAGAGGGAGAGAGAGCAGAGAGAGAGAGAGAGAGAGAGAGAGAGGAGAGGAGAGAGAGAAGAGAGAGAAGAGAGAGAGAGAGAGAGAGAGAGAGAGAGAGAGAGAGAGAGAGAGAGAGAGAGAGAGAGAGAGAAAGCGAGAAAGTAGGGTGAGGGAAAGATAAAATAGAAATAGAGAAACAGAATACATTAGAGAAAGATACAACAGAATAATAAAAAAAAATATCAAACTACAATAAATTACAACTGGATACTATATGATACACCAGAATACAATAAAAGAATAGAATACAGTAAAATACATTAGTATATGATAAGATACATTAGATTACAATAATATACATAAGAAAACAACATTAGACATTGGAATACAATAAAATACCCTTCACTCCACTTCCCCTCCCCCTCACCCCACCACTCCCACTCCCACTCCTCCAACTTCCCACTCAGCCCACTCCTCCACCTCCCACTCCCCCCACTCACCCACCCCTTCCCAACCCCCCCCATCCCCTCAACCCTCCCTCTCACCCCCTCCCTCCCCCACTCCCCACTCCTCCAACCCACTCCCCTCCCACTCAACCTGACTCCACTCCGAAGCATACCAGCGGACCTCCTCCCCCCCCTTCACCCTTTCCCCCACCCTCCAACCCCCACCCTCCCAACTCCCCCCTCACCCCCTCCTACCCACCCTTCCCCACTCCACCCACCTTCCCCCACCACTCCCACTCCCCCCCCCCCACTCACCTGACTCCACTCCGAAGCATACCAGCGGAACTCCTCCCTCCCCCCCTCCACCCCCCAACCCTCCCACCCTCACCCTCCCAACCCTCCCAACCCCACCCTTCCACCCACCCATCCCCCCACCAACCCCTCCCACTCCCCACTCCCACTCACTTGACTCCACTCCGCCGAAGCATACCAGCGGAACTCCTCCCTCCCCTTTCCCCTCACCCCCCATCCCATCCCACTTCCTCCCCCCCACTCCATCCCACTCCCCACTCCAACCCCCTCCACTACCCACTCCCACTCACCTGACTCCACTCCGAAGCATACCAACGGAACTCCCTCTCCCACCCTCCCACCCACCATCCCACTCCAACCCTCCCCCCATCCCCCCTCAAACCCCACCCATCCCACTCCTCCCCCCCCTCTCACCCCCCCACCCTTCCCCATCCCCTCCCTACCTCCCCCCACTCCCCCTCCAACCCTCCCACCCATCCCACCCCTCAACCCTCCCTCCCCACCCCCCCCCACCCTCCCACTCCACTCCCTCCCCACTCCCCACTCACCTGAGTCCACTCCAAGCATACCAGCGGAACTCCTTCCTCCCCTTCCCTCTCACCCCCCACCCTTCCCCAACTTCCCCCCACTCCTCCCACCCTCCCACTCCCCCCTCCCACCCCACTCCCCACTCCACTCCCACTCCCACTCACCTGACTCCACTCGGAAGCATACCATCGGAACTTGCACGCCACGACATCCGAGCAGTTCCTGTAGGTGATCGGCCTTCTCTCGCCCTCGCAGAAGGAACCGGGGAGGACGCCGCCCTTCTGGCCCACGCAGAGCACGGGCCGCGTCTCCAGCAGCTGGCCGCAGCCTCGCCCGCACTGGAAGGGATTGAGGGGGATTAAAAGGGGGTTTTAAAGGGTTGAATGGGATTAAAAATGGGTTTAGAGAGGATTTAATAGGATTTAAAGGATTCAATGGGTTTATTTAAAGGATTTGAATAGGATTAAAAAGGGTTTTAATAGGATTGAATAGGATTAAAAAGGGTTTTAATAGGATTGAATAGGATTAAAAGGGATTGGATTGGATCACGAGGCGTTTCGAAAGGATCAAAGAGGATTGAATCGGATTTAAAAGGATTGGAAAGGATTATAAAGGATTAAAGGGGGTTAAAGGGCGTTTCAAAAGGAATATAAAGGATCTAAGGCGCATTAAAAGAGCCCCGGGGAGGACGCCCCCCTTCTGGCCCACGCAGAGCACGGGCCGCGTCTCCAGCAGTGGCCGCAGCCTCGCCGCACTGGAAGGGATTGAGGGGGATTAAAAAGATTGACTTAGGATTAAAAAAGGATTGACTAGGATTAAAAAGGGTTTTAATAGGATTGACTAGGATTAAAAAGGGTTTTAAGAGGATTGAATAGGATTAAAAGGGGTTTTAAGAGGATTGAATAGGATTAAAAGGGTTTTAATAGATTAAAAAGGGTTTTAATAGGATTGAATAGGATTAAAAAGGATTGAATAGGATTTAAAAAGGATTGAATAGGATTAAAAAGGATTTTAATAGGATTGAAAAGGGTTTTAATAGGATTAAAAGGGATTGAATAGGATCAAGAGGTATTAAAAAGGATTGAATAGGAATAAAAAAGAGTTTTAATAGGATTAAAAGGGATTGGATTGGATCACGAGGCGTTACGAAAGGATTAAATAGGATTGAATCGGATCTAAAAGGATTGGAAAGGATTATAAAGGATTAAAGGGGGTTAAAGGGGGTTAAAGGGCGTTCCAAATGAATATTAAGGATCTAAGGCGCATTAAAAGAGCCCCGGGGGGGACGCCGCCCTTCTGGCCCACGCAGAGCACGGGCCGCGTCTCCAGCAGCTGGCCGCAGCCTCGCCCGCACTGGAAGGATTTGAGGGGGATTAAAAGGGGTTTTTAAAGGGTTGAATGGGATTAAAAGGGTGTTTTAAGGGATTGAATAGGGATTTAAAGGATTCAATGGGTTTATTTAAAGGATTGAAAAGGATTAAAAGGGATTGAATAGGATTAAAAGGGTTTTTAAATAGGATTGAATAGGATTTAAAAGGGATCGGGTTGGATCACGAGGCGTTTCGAAAGGATCAAAGAGGATTGAATCGGATTTAAAAGGATTGGAAAGGATTATAAAGGATTAAAGGGGGTTAAAGGGCGTTTCAAGAGGAATATAAAGGATCTAAGGCGCATTAAAAGAGCCCCGGGGAGGACGCCCCCCTTCTGGCCCACGCAGAGCACGGGCCGCGTCTCCAGCAGCTGGCCGCAGCCCCGACCGCACTGGAAGGGATTGAGGGGGATTAAAAGGGTTTATTTAAAGGGTGAGTGGGATTAAAAATGGGTTTTGAGAGATTAATAGGATTTAAAGATTCAATGGGTTTTTAAAGGATTGAATAGGATTAAAAAGGGTTTTAATAGGTTGAATAGGATTAAAAGGGTTTTAAAAGGATTGAATAGGATTTAAAGGGTTTTAATAAGACTAAAAAGGGTTTTTTATAGGTATTGAAATAGGATTAAAAGGATTAGGATTAATAGGATTAAAAAGGGTTATCATAGGATTAAAAAGGATTGAATAAGATTAATAAGGATGAATAGATTAAAAGGATTGATAGATTAAAAAGGGTTTAATAGGATTGAATAGGATTAAAAAGGATTGAATAGGATTAAGAAGGGTTTTTAATAGGGAATAGGATTAAAAGGGATTGGACTGGATCACGAGGCGTTTCGAAAGGATCAAAGAGGATTGAATCGGATTAAAAGGAAATTATAAAGGATTATAAAGGATTAAAGGGGGTTAAAGGGCGTTCCAAAAGGAATTATAAGGATCTAAGGCGCATTAAAAGAGCCCCGGGGAGGACCCCCCCTTCTGGCCCACGCAGAGCACGGGCCGCGTCTCCAGCAGCTGGCCGCAGCCCCGCCCGCACTGGAAGGGATTGAGGGGGATTAAAGGTTATTTAAAGGGTTTGAGGGGATTAAAAAGGGTTTTTAAAGGGTTGAGGGGGATTAAAGGGTTTTTTTAAAGGGTTGGGTGGGATTAAAAGGGGGTTTCTAGAGGATTTAATAGGATTAAGAGGGGTTTCGAGAGGATTTAGTAGGATTAATAGGGGTTTTGAGAGGATTTAATAGGATTAATAGGGGTTTTAAAAGGATTAAATGGGATTAATAGGGGTTTCGAGAGGATTTAATAGGTTTAATAGGATTAATAGGGGTAAAAGGATTAATGGGATTAATAGGGGTTTCGAGAGGATTGAATAGGATTAAAAGGGGTTTCAAAAGGATTAAATAGGATTAAGAGGATTTCGAGAGGATTTAATAGGATTTAAAGGATTCAATGGGGGTTTAAAAGGATTCAATGGGATTCCATGGAGGGGTTTAAGAAGATTCAATGGGATTCAATGGGGTTTTAATGGATTTAATACGATTAAAAGGGGTTTCTAAATATTTGAATATCATTGAAGATCGTTTTGAAAGGATTAAAAGGAATTGAATAGGATCAAATGGGGTTTCAAAAGGATTAATCAGGATTAAAGGGGCTTTTAAAGGATTGAAAGGTTTAAGAGGGGTTTTAAAATGATTATAAAGGATTGGATTGGATCAAAAAGGGTTCCAAATGGACAAATAGGATTAAGAGGGGTTTCGAGAGGATTAATAAGGATTGGAGGTTTCTAAAGGATTGATCAGGGTTAAAAGGGGTTTCTAAACGATAAGAAAGGATTTAAAAGGTTCTCAAAAAGATCATAAAGGATTAAAAGGTGTTTCAACAGGATTTTAAAGGATTAAATACGATTAAATAAGATTAAATGGGATTAAAAGAGGTTTCTATAGGATTAGATAGGATTAACAGGGGTTAAAGAGGTTTCAAAAGGATAAGATAGGATTATATAGGATTGAGAGGGGTTTCAACAGGATTATAAACGATTTAAAGAAGGATTTAAAGGGTTATAACGCACTTCCTTTCTAACACTTCCTCATCTTCAACCTTACTTACCTCATCCTTCCTCATCCTCACTCACACTTCCTCCTCTTTACCCATACATCAATTTCTCACCTTTCGTCCTCACCCTCACCCAACCTTACTTATCCTTCCTCATTCATCCTCTTCCTCATTCTCCACTTACTCATCTTTATCCTCATCCTCTCACTTATCCTTTCCCACCTTTCCCAACCCACCCCTCACCCATACTCACCCTCACTCACCTCACTCACCCCCAAACCCTCCCCTCACCCTCACTCACCCTCACTCACCCGAACCCTCCCCTCACCCATACTCACCCACTCCATCCCCCAACCCACCCTCACCCATACTCACCCCCCACCCATACTCACCCATACTCACCCCTCACCCATACTCACCCCTCACCCATTACTCACCCCCAACCCTCCCTCACCCATACTCACCCTCACCCTTCCTCACACTCACCCTCACTCACCCTCACCCACCCCCAACCCTCCCCTCACCCTCACTCACCCCCAACCTCACTCACCCAACCCTCACTCACCCTTACTCCCCCCAACCTCCCCTCACCCATATCACCCCACTCCAATCCCCGCCACCCAGTCGACTCCTCCGCATGGCACCAACTGGCACTCCTTCTCCTCTTCCGGTTTCTCCTCCAGGCACTCGGCGTCGTCCAGTGCCACGGGCCTATTGGCGCTCCGGCGATGACAAGTGACTTTTCGAGTCTGCTTGCCGGGTCCACAAAGTTTGTTGCACTGGGGGGGGAGAGGGAGATTAGGATTAAATAGGGTTAAATGGGGTTAAAGGTTAAATAGGGTTAAAATTGGGGTTAAATTAGGATTAAATAGGGTTAAAATGGGGTTAAATGGGATTAAAATGGGGGGAGGAAATGGGTTAAATAGGGTTAAATGGGGTTAAATGGGGTTTGGTTAAATTAGGATTAAATTAGGGTTTAAATGGGTTTAAAATGGGGGGAAATGGGGTTAAATAGGGTTAAAATGGGATTAAATAGGGTTAAAATGGGTGAAATGGGGTTAAATGGGGTTTAATTAAATGGGTTAAATGGTTAAATTAGGAGTAAATAGGGTTAAAATAGGGGTTAATTAGGATTAAATAGGGTTTAACATGAAAATTAGATTAAATAGGGTTAAACATGTGTAAAATAGATTAAAATAGGGGATTAAATAGCGTTTAAATGGGGTTAAAATGGGTAGAAATGGGATTAAATAGGGTTAAAATGGGTAGAAATGGGATTAAATAGGTTAAAATGGATTAAACATAATGAAATAGGGTTAAAATGGGATTAAAATAGGATTAAAATGGATTAAATGGTTTCAATAGGATTAAAATGGGATTTAAAATGGGATTGAAATAGGATTAAAATAGGGTTAATGAATTTCTTTTTTGAAAGAATGCTATTCAAAATCTGGAAATTGTCTAAGAACTATTCGTTCTTTTTAATGTTTGAAAAATGCTACTAAAAATAATTTAGTTTTTTTTTTTTTTTTTTTAATACAGCTAATTTTTTTTTTTTTTTTTTTTTTGGAAAATTGTCTGAGAACTCTAGGAAAAAAGAACTAATGATTTTTTTTAAGGAACACAAATAAAAATTTCTATGAAAATTGTCGATGTCTAAAAAATGTACTAATTAATTTCTTTTTTGAAAGAATACAACTAAAAATCTCTTTTGAAACTGATTAAGAACTCTATAAAAACAATTCGTTTTTTTTTTTTTTCTCTTCTCTTCTCTTCTGCAATCTCTCCGAAATTGTCTAAAAATTCTATGAAAAAAAAAAAAAACTTCTGGTAAGTATGACAACTATAATTCTGATATCATGAAAGATGGAATAATGCACTGGCCGCATTTTGATATCATGAATTCATAACCTCTCTGACGGGGATTCGAACCCCCACCGCCGTTGCAAAGAATTTCAAAGACGGGACACTCTATGCCACTGGATACACGGACCCACAAAAGAAGCATGCACCTAGTACTTTACTAGTATCCATAGACTACCTATCTAGTTCATAGCACGAGTCAGGATAGTGAGGTTTTACACACTCTCCGTGGGGCACCCTCGGTATATATAGAAAGAGCAGTTCACATCCGAAATCCATATTGCTGACGGTGTATTCAGTGAAAGATGGAATAATGCCGGCCGCATTTTTGATATCATGAATTTATAACTCTCTGACGGGGATTCGAACCCTCACCGCCGTTGCAGAATTCACAAGACGGGCACTCTGTCCATGATAAACGACCCAACAAAAAGAAGTGCAACGGAGCTTACTAGCATCCATAGCAGTATATCTAGTCATACAGAGTCAGGATAGTGAGGTTTTTTACACACACTCCGTGGAAGAGAGCAGTTCAAATCCCAAATCAGATAACTGAGGTGTATTCAATGAAAGATGGAATAATGCACTGCCGAATTTTGATATCATGAATTTTATACTTCTCTGACAGGGATATCGAACCCCACCGCGTTCCAAAGAATTCACAGAGGGCACGTCTATCCACTGATACACGACCAACAAAAGAAGTGTGCAACCTAGGAGCTTACAGATCCCATAGGACATTAACTATTAGTACATACACGAGTGGGATAGTAGGTCTTTCAACTCCCATTGGGGCACTCGGTATTATAATAGAAAGGAGCAGTTCAATCCCATCAGATATTGCTGAGCGTGTATTCAGTGAAGATGGTATAAAGCAGGCCGCCATTTTAATCATCAATGAATTTTACCTCTCTGACGGGATTCGATACCCCCACGCCGTTGCAAGAATTCACAAGACGGGCACTCTGTCCACTG